ATAGATAGATAGATAGATAGATAGATAGATAGATAGATAGATAGATAGATAGATAGATAGATAGATAGATAGATAGATATAGATATAGATATATAGATGCATTGTTTGAACAGATTGCATTGTTCAAACAACACAGTAACAATAACAAAGGCCCTTTTTCCCTTTCAAAGATTTTGACTTGACCTTTCTCCAACCATTTATTCTGCTACATTGGATTCTATTTACATAGTTAGCTAAGTGAATAATTAACTAGGTAGTTAATGGCTCTAGAAGTACACAGGCACACTAGCTGGGTCAATAATTTCCACCTGGGGAAACACCAACAGTTCAACATATGACCTATTGTTGCAAAACAGTTTTGCCAAGCTTTGTTACATCAATGTCCCTTTCCTATTGGCTATGTCAGCAGTATGCTAAAAAGTTGTGTTTTGGGGAACTTGTCATGTGACTGGAAGGCTTCTGTAGGGGTAGAGTAAATTACATTAATGGCTGATCAACACCACCACCTCATTTCTTTGGAGGACTGACTGAATCTTCCAGTGTGTACAGCATGGCAGACCAGGAAAGATAGTTGGACTCAAACTATTCAGGTACAGTTTGGGCTTAGAACTGTGCCTCTCCAGCCCCAGGATTAACTAGGTTAGTGAGTTCATGCAACATGCCGCCCTGCTGGCTAAAATGAATACCTCAACTGTATCACTACCTCTGGATTAGGATTGTAGGTTGCAAATTACCTGTACTGCAGCATCAACCCACTCTTAAAACTTTGGGAATTTTAAGAACACAAGCTACAGTTGATAAAATAGAAATATAAGAAGACGCCGACGCCGTGTGTTTTATTCTCCTTGTTGGATTGAGAAAGTACATTTGTTTTAATGACCACAACTGGAAGCAATATTTCTGCTTCTAAGCAAAGCAGTTATTTCTTATTTAATTCATCTGTATCCTATTATTTTTACAAATAACTCAATGAGATGATCATATCCAACACACCTTCCTATTTTCCCCACAATAACCCTGTGAGATGAGTTGGGCTGAGTGTGACTGCGCTGGAACTCATAGTCTCTGATTTTATAGCCACCTCCCCTATTTTTCGGAGTATAAGATGCACCAAGGTTTTGAAGAGGCAATTTTTTTTAAAAGTAGGTAGGTAGATAGAGGGATAGAGAGGGAGAGAAAGAGAGAGAAATACAGTAGGTAGGTGGGGAGAGAGAGTAGGTAGGTAGGTAGGTAGGTAGGTAGGTAGGTAAAGGGAGAGAGAGAGAGAGAAATATAGTAGGTAGGTAGGGGGAGAGAGAGAGGGGGTAGGTAGGTAGGTAGAGGGATAGAAAGAAATAGAGCGTGAGCAATACAGTAGATAGGTAGGGAGAGAGAGTAGGTAAGTAGATAGATAGAGGGAGAGAGAGAGAAATACAGTAGATAGGGAGAGAGAGTAGGTAAGTAGGTAGGTAGATAGAGGGAGAGAGAAATACAATAGGTAGGAGGAGGGAGAGAGAGAGAGACCTCCCCAAAACAGCCCATTTTTCACAAAAACAGGCTCGTTTTTTTTAAAAAAAGGCATGAATAGCCCTGGGGGGGCTTGCAGAGTGCTTCTTGGGGGGGGGGACAAAAAAACAAGCAAAAAACAGTCCGTTTTTGTCAAAAAAAATTGCATGCATAGTCTTATGGAGGCTTATAGAGTGCTGCTGGGGGATGGGGGGGGCAAAAACAGCCCATTTTTTGCTCATTTCTGTCCTCCCCAGACCCCAGGAGCTCTCTGAAAACCTCCATAAGGCTATGCACAGCCATTTTGGTGAAGGGTGCGGGGCTTCGGGAGGCAAAAGAATGCTGTATTCGATGTATAAGACGCACCCAGATTTTCAGCCTCCTTTTTGAGGAAAAAAGGTGCATCTTATAGTCTGAAAAATACGGTAACTTTAACTGTTAAGACCAAAATGGTTCTTATTAGGCTATTAGAATTGTCAGCAATGGGATAAGGGGAATCTGAAGCCCCAAACCAAGTAGAACAGCTTTGATCCTGACATTTACGGCAGTTGGTTTTTGTTTGCTCTACCGCCACATCCCAACTTACCATCCTTCTGTCATTGGAAATGAAAACAGCATAAAATTCTTCTAAAGGGTATTGATTCTTGCTTCGGATATGTTCACAAAGTTTCCAGATATTTTCTTCACTGTAGAGAAATAAAAACACGAGCTCACATACTTTTAAGTTTCTGTTCTTTTCTGGTACTAAAATCTTAATTGTTCAAGGTTATTATGTATTCCCACGTTTTATTCAATTCATTCTCTCTTCTACACAATTGTACAAATGGTCCTAAATTACCTGGAATCAGTGTTTAATTCTGCCAGGGTACATTTTGTATACAATACCTTTTTACCAGAGATACCCCAAAATTAAATTTCCATTAAGGAAAATAAACAGGACTTGAAACATGGAGGAAAAGCGAAGGCTAGCTTTGGAGATGTAACATCAATTTGATTAAATGGGCTCCTTGTGTTATATAGTACAATGACTAATTGTAATGTGTTGTGTCATTCATTCTGCATCTATTTATCAGCAGCTAATAAATCAAAATGTTCTTTCAAAAATGCTTCCGGATTGTTTGGAAAGCTAGAGGAAATTTTGGTAGACTGACATCGGCTGCCCTAGTAAGATTTTCTGGAACTATAACGGCGATCGCTCCTAGGTTTTATAATAGGGATAACCCTTCCTTACCAATAGCAGCTCGTATAGACGCAAACGGAGCGAGAAGAGACCACCGGGTCGTAGCGGGCCATGACAGCCTCCGCCATTGAAGCCCGATGTTGGCTGGCCAAGGGGAAAGATTAAGAGGTGCATTTCCCGGATAAAGCCTGATCAAGAAGCCGCTCGTCTCTGGCAACGGGGGTCGGTTGAAGAAGCATCGCTCCACGCGTGCGGTTCCGAACGTCCTGGGGGGACGCGTTACAAGGAACGCCTTCCCCCGGAAACGCCGGCTGCATTGCAAGGCTGCTCGACTCAACTAAGAGGAGGCAAAAAGAGACGAAGCGGTTAAGCGATCTTGTGGCAATTCCAATGTGCGTGTGTTTAGAATTAGATACATAATAGAATAACAAAGTTGGAAAGGATCACCTTGGAGGTCATCTAGTCCAATCCCCTGCTTAGGCAGGAAACCCTAGACCACTTCAGACAAATGGTTATCCAGCATCTTCTTAAAAACTTCCAGTGTTGGAGCATTCACAACTTCTGGAGGCAAGTCGTTCCTCTGATTAATTGTTCTAACTGTCAGGAAATTTCTCCTCAGTTCTAAATTGCTTTTCTCCTTGATTAGTTTCCACCCATTGCTTCTTGTTCTACCTTCAGGTACTTTGGAGAATAGGATTCTGTCCAGTTTGCCCCTAAAGGGCGAGGCCAAATCTTTTATTAGGGCAAAGACTTTCTTAGGCGAAGGCAGAAGTTGCAAATTAACAAAGTACTTTATAGTTTTTGAGTTAGTGTCAGTTAAACTAATCAGAGAGAAGCATCCTGGAATTAAGGAGAAACTTCCTAACAGAACAATTAACCAGTGGAAAAGCTTGCCTACATAAACCGTGGACGCTGCTCCATCACTAGAGGTTTTTAAGAAGAGACTGGACAGCCACTTGTGTGCCATTGTATAGGTTCTCCTCCTTGAGCAGGGAGCTGGACTAGAAGACCTCCAAGGTCCCTTCCAGCTCATTCATTCTATGGAGCCTGATTTCCCCCCCCCCCTTCCCTCCCATTTTATTACAACATTGTTTAGAAGCGCTCATTTCACTTTAAATAAAGGCGGGTCTGTTTTCATAATTATATCTCTCCAGTCATGTGTCAGTGCTGAAGTTATAAGCATAAACATCAGACCTCTAAATCCTTTCTAAGTGTATTGGAACTACAATTTGCAATCAATGGCTTTCCAGGAGACATAAAGGGCGCTAAGTCAGAGATATTTACACTTATTTATTTAATTTATTTCATTTCTTTAGTTTGTCACTCATGTACAAGATAACAGGAATAGGAATAAACATGAATAAGAGCGCAGGAAATGGGTACAAATAAATGGGGACAGTAGGACAGGGACCTTAGGAATGCTGGTGGACTTATTTTCTGCAATCGAGTTTGGAGCGGTTTACCTTGAGTTTGTATCTATTATATGCTCCTGTGTTATTGTGGTTGAAGCTGAAGTAATCATTGACAGGTAAGACACTTGCCTAGGAGTAAAACCTCAGAAATACTTCTGAATAGTATTCTGTGGATAACCAAGAAAACAAACCAGTGGATTGTTGAACAGTTCAACCAGAGTTCTCATTGGAGGCACAAATGACCAGGCTCCAATTATATTTCTTGGGATACATTATGCCAAGATCCAGCTCTCTGGAAATGGTTCTAACGCTGGGAAAGGTAAAAAAAGAGTGAGATCCCTTGCTTTTTCATGCTTGCCAGCTTTTAGCTCTATGTTCTATAGGTTTTATAATAATTTGTTAGCCACCCACAGTTGTTGAAAGTTTCGGTAGTTTAATTCATCATCACCTTGGAAAACCCAATGGAAAAGGGCTTTTAATTTTCAGGAGAATCTAAAAATGTGTAAAATACAACCCCAAATAAATATTTGCTGCTGTTACTATTAGTACATCATGTATATAAGCCATGTAATTCCACCTTTTAAGTATTATGTGGGGGTGTTGCTTCTGTGTTTTTAACAATAGCTGGGTATATAGAAATCAAACAGGTGAAGCCTTTCCTGGCAAGCAGGTAAAGTGATTAGCCAAGTCCCACCTGTTGCCTGAAAGAGAATATAAAGCTCTTGGGGTTGTAGAGAAGAGTCAGCTTTCTGATCAGCTTAAGAAAAATCATTCATTTGGGAATCAATGTTCCTGACTCCATCAACGTCTCTTCAGTAAGAAAACATTTTAGATTATTTTTAACTGCTGTGGGAGGACTGGTTAGGAAATAAAATTAAGGGGATACCCCTTTGCTAAAGGGACATATGTCAGGACCTACTCAGCATTAGTGCCCTGATTCTATACGTTGTGGGAGTCCCTTGGATGCAAGCTATACTTGGCTCCATAGGAGCAGTAAGGAGTCTTAGTAATTCCAGTGAACAAGGGATCTCATGGTGGCACTGTATATTTGGAGAGGAGTTGGCTTCTTTTTTTTAAAGCAGAAACTTAACTTTGATGGGCCACCTTAGTCCAATTCAGCGCTGTGTGCCATTCCACTGTACTGCCAAGAAGCACAATTATTTTGACTTTTCACAAGCCAATAGGGAAGTAGGTCCTCCTTATACAAAAGAGTTGATCCTCCAGCTGATTACAATCCCGGTGCAATTGTTAAAAAGAATAGATAAAATGGTGAAGACAAAAGGAGGAATAAGTTTTTATTTTTGCAGCAGGATTTTTTTTTTTTTAATATCCATAACCTGTTTTTTTTCTAGATGTAAACTGTTTTGGCACCTTTCCTTTGGGGTTAAGGATTTCATTCTCTCCCTTCTGCTCCTCCAACAGATGCAAAATTATATGGGAAATGCAATTTTTTCTTCCATTTTGGTGATGTCGAGGAAAACAGCTTAAAGCATGTACGCGTTTAGTTTAGCACTTAAAAAGGCATGGTTACTTATTTCCCTTTCCGTGGGATCGCCTTTTCTATGGCCAAAAGAGCGCAAATAGGCTTCCTCTGATAATGGATATATTTCGATTAGCTCAGCGGGCAGGAGATTGCAGAGCGTAGGGCTTTGAAACCCAGGTTGGAGAGAGGTTTGCTACAAACTTTAATCCGGTTTGCATAATAATGATAATTCTTTATTGTCCGTGCACAACATATGTACGAGATTAGTTGATTGTTCCATAAAATTGTTCCACCAGAATAGTGGCGTTGTTTTGTCTTGCCCATTGGGAGTACATCACATACAAGTGCAATTTTATATGTATTCTTAAGAAGATTTATACGTGTGAATTTCAAGGCGTTTCCAAACATAAGAGTGAGCTGGTTGCGTTGATACAGAAAACGCGCCTTTCTCAAAGAGTCGTGCAAAGTTTTAAACATTCTCTGTTTGAGAGCTTCGCGGGCAGTAGCAGCAAAACACCGCGCGCCAGAGCGCGGACCAATCAGAGCGAAGGAAAACAAGCCGCACTCCAACTTGCCCACGCGCCAAAAACTTTTAGGGCGCAGAACGCGCGTCGTGTCCTTCCGCGGCGGTGGATCTATTTAACGGGAGGGGAAAAACTAGCGCCGAGACAGAAGTGCTCCCACCGAGCGTAACCTAGTCAACGGGGGCAGTCCCAGCAAGCCTCTTGAATCGGGACGGATCGCTGAGGCGGCGGCTTGGATGAAAATTAAATCCCGCAGGAAAGAAGGACGGCACGGCGGAGGGATCCGAGGAACGGTTGGTGACGAGATGGCGCTCGGGGTTGTGGCGCCAGAATTCAGAGGCAGTTGAGGAGAGGCGGACATCGCCATGGTGGTGCTCCGTAGCGGTTCGGGTGGCTCTGGCCGCCCCGAGCCTCAAGGCGGGGCCTCTTCCAGATCCCCGCAGTCTCTCTACGAAGCGATGGAATCGAGTTCGGAGTTTCTCACTTTGAGGACCGCGGCTTCGTCTCGGAGGAAACGCTCGGTGGAAAGTCGATCCCTCGGACCGGCCAGCGGGGATCCACCCGCCGATCGGAAAGCCCGGACGGTGAGTTTGGAGAAGGGGTAGAACATAACAGGAACGAGCGCGGGGTTCAAAATACAGGCCGGGGGACGATGACAATCCTCCGGTTGAGTTATTGGATACAAAAAAGGGTAATATAAACAAAAAGAATATAGTTTAGTCTCACTCTTAGCCAATCTGGTGCCAGTCGGTTTGTCCATCTCCTGTAGATGGGTTCCCATGAGGATAATTGGAATGAATTTCCATTTTCCTGAGCGCTTTCTATAGTTTAACGCAGAGGACTTCAAACTTTGGCAACTTGAAGACATGTGGACTTCAACTCCCAGAATTCTCCAGCCAGTGACTTAATTTGGGTATTTTGGGGCTTCATTGCCACAAAGCCTTTTCTAACATCTGGTTGAACATCTGGCATCTTCCTTTTCCAGTTTCATCTCATCAGCCGTTGGGTGGCCCTAAGCATTTTTCTGCTAGCTTGTGGAATTAAGGATATTGTATTTGTAACCTGCATTTATGGCTTTGGGGAGGTGGGGATGGATATTGATAGGTGTAGTGATGTCAGCCTCTTCCCAGGTAGACCAGTTCTGGAAATTGTCCATAGGAAGACTAGAACTATATTTTATTGACATAAACTGTAATAGCCCCCCACCCCCAACACAATTACTGGATTACTGCTGAACAAGTAATTACTATTAGTTCCTATTACCTAATTTATCCCACTTATGACTGCAGGATTGTAACTTTGTTGCTTGTATCCTTACTATTGATATTGTTTCCTGATTGCTTATTTGTACCCTATGACTATCATTAAGTGTTATATCTTATGATTCTTGTCTGTTTTATGTACACTGAGACATATAAAGACAAATTACTTGTGTTTCCAATCACACTTGGCTAATAAAGAATTGAATTCTATTCTATTCTAACAGAATTCTGCAGGTCTAATTGTGATATCCAACTTCTTATATTAGGTTGAATCAGGGAGGCATCTGCTTGAATTGCTTCTGAATATTATGTCCTTTCTCTGCACTTAAAAAAGTGGTTCAGCCCCCTTTGCATAGATAATGTTTAATATTTCCATCAAGGTCTTTTTTCTTACTCTTTATAGCTGACCTTCCAAATTGTTAACCATTGTGGTGTTCTCCAGATTTGCTGGCATTGTTTGGTTAGAACTTTTACTAACTTTTCTGTTGCTGGCATTATTTTTGTAGCTATTCATCCGCTCCTATACTCCTCCAACTTGGGTAATAGCTGGAGTGGTGATTCAGTCTATAAACTTTTTTTTATTTGGTTTGATTTTAAATGAAATACTACTGGTGGATATAAAAAAGAAAGAGAAGGGATCCAATATTTGTTAGGCTACAGAAGTACTGGATTGTAACTTCCTTATTTGAAGAATTTTTCATTAAGAATATATGTTTGAAAAGGGGTTGGGGTACTGTGCCTCCAAGCTGCAATTGAGCTGCAGTTTTACGTGGTTGTGTGAATCACTAAAGAGCTTTAGCCATGCAAATTTGGGTTTTATTGGGTACAGACATCTTAACTTGTTTACCTAACAAAGAGATATAGCCTTAGTCTATGGACTGAATTGGTATGTTTAGAACTTTATTGTTCCATCAGGAACTTGTGATAATCATTAAAACAAGAATGTTTTTATCAGGAAGTGCTAAACAGCAGCCAACATAATTTGGTTAGCAAAAAATTACAGCAGCCAATTATTCCAACTAATTTTATTGTGATGGGTAATTGCATATAATAGAGTTTGATACATTGGCTTATAAAACATCCCACAGGAATAACACCCTTAACATTTAACTTTATTTTACAGCTTTTAAGAATTGTCACCCATCCACTATTCCTCATGCATAAAGGTACACATCAATTCATGGAAGTAGTAAAATAGACACATATTTTTAATCTGTGAAGAAAAGAGATTAATTTCTGATCTCTACAATTTTATAATAAACTTTTTAGGTTGCAATTTTGTACACACTATACTGAAAGTTAAACTTCCTAGCACCACAAGGTTACATGGTTTTTAGAGTGCCAAAATATATTTCTATATTTTCTATATTTACTCCATAGTATCTGCTATGGAGTTTGATGTTAAAATATTAAATACTAACAAGTAATAAATGATACGACAAAAAATCAAATTTATATATCTAGGAAAAATGAATTCATCTTAAAGCACTGTGATTAAAAGTTTTTATTTTCAGCAACTTATAGTATGATGGTGTTAAAGTTAATTAGAAATTTGCAATGTCTTGCACGTATGAAATTTTGAAAAAGCTCATGAACAGATTTAAACAGTAATGCATATGCAATGGTACCTTTAAAATTAAGCACAGAACATAATTGGGAAGCTAATTATAAAAAAATACTGCTCATACAATTAACAAATGTTACTTTCTGAAATTTTTAATACACATTTCTATTTTAGAGAATATTCCAACTTATTTTATTTCTAAAGTTATTAAAATATAATGTCCCAGTCTGCTATCTGCCTCTAGGAAGAGATTATTTCAGAAACTGAGTAATCTACAAATTCTTGTTGAGTAGGAGGACTGAAGAGTCATTGTGTAGTAATATATCATACTCTAGAAAAGGTTGTAGTCAGAAATATATTTTATAAAACATGCCCTACTTAAGGACTACTTTGAGTGAAAAATAATTTGTAATTATGAAAAAGTATAATTGTTAAATACAACAGAAACTAAACATGTCATTTGTGATGGGAAATTTTATCAATCAAATTTTAATTCTTCAGTATAATAATCTAGAAATACATATTCATGCAGATGCTTCTAGTTCTTTAAAAAAGTAATTTAAGCACTTTCTGTAATTCATAAAAGGTAAAAGTGGTCAAGCATATTTGAATACAATGTATCAGAGAAGCTACCATAAATTATACTCATAAATGTTGCTGAAAATATAAGTACATAAAGATAGTCTACAGAGATACTATTTAAATAAATCTTTTGAGCTCATTCAATTTTAATAGATATATTTTCTAGGTAATTTAGTTTGCTGATATATCTAAATAATGTATATTAAATCTGAATAAAGCAGTTTTTCATCAAAATGTACCATATTTTTCAGAGTATAAGAAGCACCTTTTTCCCTCAAAAAAGAGGCTAGAAATTTGGGTGCATCTTATACCCTGAATGCAGCATTTTTTGCCTCCCGAAACTGCGCCCCCTTCACCAAAATGGCCATGCATAGCTTTTAGAAGGCTTTCAGAGAGCTCCTGGGGGCTGGGGAGGGCAGAAATGGGGGGAAACAGGCCATTTTTTGCTCAGCCCCCAGCAGCACTCTATAAGCTTTCTAAGGGCTATACATTCCCTTTTTTTTTTTTTTGATGAAAAATGGCCGTTTTTTGCTTATTTTTGCCCCCACCCCGCAGCAGCACTCTACAAGCCTCCTAAGGGCTATTCATGCCCTTTTTTTAAAAAAAAATGGGCCTGTTTTCATGAAAAATGGGCCATTTTGGGAGGTTTGCAGAGTGCAAAAACTTTTTACAATTTTCCTTTTCAAAGCCTTGCTGCGTCTTATAATCTGAAAAATACAGTAAATAGAGTTGAAGTATCTTTTCTGCTGTTTTGCATTTTTTCTTTTAAGTAAGGGCATTTCTCACAATTTTAAATATTGCTGACTAGTTTTCCAGTGTATTGTTACAGTTAATCTGGCAGCTGACAACACACTGAATTATTTATTGCATTGCACCATATTTACGTGAATTGGGGAAAAGGATGTTTTCCCCCATTTTACAACTTTTCTTGCCACATTTGTTAAATGAATCACTACAGATGTTAAATTAGTATAACAGCGGTTTAAATGAATCTGTTTTGGCATTCTGAATGTAAATCATGTGACCATGGGGATGCTGCAAGGATCATAAGTGTGAAAAATGGTCATAAGTCACTTTTTTCAGTGCCATTGTATGGTCACTAAAGGAACTACATTAGTGGACTACTTGTATTGTAAACTGAATCATACTGGTCACTAGCCAAGGGCTCAAACTGATCCAAACTATTCCCAGCTTGGTCTTTCCCATCTCTGAGTCTTGGTAAGGTAAGGGATTATGTCTTCTTTAACTCCCCCACCTGCCTCTCTTCCCCCACCCCCTAATCTAACCCTTTTGGCCTCCTTCCACTTTGCTGCCCTGTGCTTATTGGCCCTGGTAGAGCTGCAGCCCAAACTGATCCTAGCTGTCTTACTGCTTCTGTTGACAATGCATACCCTGCCCAGCTGTTCAGGAGGCAGCTGCTGGCTATGCTGGTCATTTTTCCAGAGGCTGTTCAGCCAAATTGTGTGAGGGCTTGTTCAAATGACATTCAACCTTTTCATGAGCTTTTTGAAATTATGGTTCTATAACTTGAATGGTCCCTGAATGATCATAATTTTAGAACTACCTGTATGTGTATGAAATGAGGTAGTGTCAGAATGATATATATATAGATATAGATATACATACATACATTCATACATACATACATACATACATTCATACATTTTGTATTCAAATAAAGAAGTGAATTACAAATATAAAATAAGTTGTCATATTCTCAGATAATGTGTTACGTTCATGTGATGTTAGGCTAACAAATGTTTTACAAGAATATGGAATTGAAGGTTCTACATTGATTACCAAACTTGCTTTTAATGAATCATTTTTATCTGTTCTGAGCCATCCATTGTCACTTAGATGAGATGCAAGTTGCATAAATAAATGCATAAATAAAAGGTTGGTTGTCACATGCAATAAGAAGTGTATAATGGTGATAAACTATGCATAAATGGAATTCTTGGTGAGTGGTTCCATATTCCACAGGACATAAATTGTCTCCTTGTTTAATGAATTTTTGGATAATGTTATAAGAATACTTATGGAAATACCAGAGATATATTAGTTGGAGTTGTGAATGTATATGTACAACCTAATTTTGTTTTTGTCTTTTAAAACTTAAGCAGCTTAAGACATCATTTGATGGATCACTTTTGCTATCTACTTTGTTTTAATAACTTACAGAAATATTAAATCAGAATTAAGGTGCATAAATATTTCAAATTAAAAGAAAGTTGTTACACATCAGAGTTAGAACATAATTAACTATGCAATCTTAATTATCCTTATTGTACTGCTTCAGGAGTTCTCTTCAGACAAAGAATGTGGGCATTTTACAAGGCAGCACACCTTAAGATCTATGAGGAAAAATAATCCGCATTATTCAAGCCCTAGCTTTGACAAAACGATGTCAACACTGAGTGAAAATGAGATTAACAGGAAACATTTTACAAGGTATTTTTTTTCTTTTATAGATCACTTGATAAAATTATGTTATACTTGGATCCTTTAGAGCACAGCAGTGTTATAGGACTTGAAAATGATTTTCTGATTAAAACCTTATTTTCTAAGAAAAGCTTACAGAAATAAAAAAAATAAAAATGTATATACCAACAGAACTTATTAGAACTAAGAAAAGCACAAATGTTTTTAAAGGGTGTTTGGAAGACTAGCAAATTAAAAAGATAATTCATATTTTATCTTCTACAATACTGTTAGAACATTTTAATTTTATTGTATTCTTTGAAAAACCAGCCAGGAGCTGAATTTCTTTCTTTCTTTCTTTTTTCAAATTGGAAGTCAATGTTCTGCAATACAACTGTAATTCAGTGAAAACTAAAATTATATAACCAATTTTCAGCATGGTTTTTTTTTAATAAACAAAAACTACCCCCCAAAACCAAAAGACTCTGAAAAAACAATTTAAAAAATATATATAGTAGAGGCAAGGTAACAAAGCAAATAAAAAAATGGAATAATCATAAGTAAGGAAGTATATAGAAACTGAAACAGCACAAACCATTTTTAAGTCCACTTAATTCTTCTGATACTAAATCTTATTCTAGTACTGACCTAAATAAAAGCTATTAATTGAACGTCAAGCTGATAAAAACTTGATATCTTTGCTTCTATGCAGACAACTGGCTAGAATGCAGGCGGGTGGAAAGAATGAAGATGGTGAAGAAGGTAAATCTAGTAAAATATACATTCTATTGGTTGTGGATAGACTGCAGAGGCTCAAATATATTGACTGAAATTTCTAGTTCAGAGAATTGTTGTTTATGCAAAACATCCTTGGTTTTGCTTTTACAAAGGTGGCCTTGGTGGCTTGAGGTTTGAAATATGCAAAATATTCTATTTCAGCTGAACCATGTTCAAACTGGGGTGGAAATATACATTTCCAGTATTTTAGTTTCAATGAAATATAACAGCTGATTTTTTCCAGAAGTTGGGTAGCAAAGGAGAGAGGAAAGGAAGCCTCCGGAAAGATTGGAGACATAGTGTGATAGCAGTGGTTGAAAGGGGGAAAAGGAGATGCCCCCCAGCATTAAAGAGGGGAGACAGGGAACATTTGTACTTCAACTTTGTCTCTCTTTTCTCAGCTGGATGTTGTTTCATCTGAAATCTGGAAATCAGCCAAAACCTCTTGGGATTTGCTTGGGCCAAAATTTATCAGTACATTGGTTAATAATCAATCTACATGCTATTCATATTTTTGGGTGACAGGCTGGATGTTTTTTTTTTTTTTGTCCTCTCAAATATCTTACTATGTATCATTTTCAGCTTCTTGCACCAAAATCTATACCTTAGAAGAATATTTCTTAGTTTGGTCAAAGAACCCTTTCACGCTATCAAAGAGATTCAAATTTCAAAATTAATTGCCAAGTATTGAAGTTATTTGCAAAATTTTAAAACAATGTCACTCTTCTCATTTTTATTTGATAATAAAAATGTTTTTTAAATAACACTTATTTTTTGATAATTTTTTATGGTTCATTAAATACATATACAAATGGATGCATTTTAATATTTAATGTGATAAATATCCATAAATAGAATCCATATAAGCAAAAAATTTTGGGGGATTCTCTATAGTTTTTAAAAGTAGGAAGGCACAAAGTTTAAGCAAAAAGTTCAAGAAATACTACCTTAGAAGTTTATAATATATTAATTCAATAGTAATTATGCGAACAAGTTTCTGAAAAGGAATATTTCAGAGAAGCTTCACAGCAAATGTCCAAAGTAGGAGGGATAATTAATACTGTGGAATGGAAACAGTCATGTGGAGATGTGCAGCTGAAACTGAAGGGTGAATATATGTATGTCTATTCCTACCTGTACTTCTATTCACATAGTATCAAGCTCCTAAAATTTTCTGATTTCCTATCACCATGGCAACCTTTAGTGCCTTGTGCTATGTCATTTTTTTTTTTTTTTTGCAATCAGGATAAGTCAGTTTTGTGAAAGGTTAGGTAGAAGTGTGCAGTAGAAAAAAAGACACTGGAAAAGAAATGTATTTTATATAAGTATAATCTTTATTGTCATTATACTTAAATACAACAAAATTGGTACAAAGTTACTTTATTATTGTGATAAATAACAAAGTATTTTTGTTTCCATTGACAAAATTACATTTAAACAAATGTTACTAATTATATGGATGAGATTTGTGGGTGAAGGATGCTTATCAAATTTACAGGCAATTCAGATATTCTGGGGAACTATCCTTGAACACATAAAAACAGTTTTAAAAAGATCTCAACATAAAGATTGAAAGTGAAGTGAAATTTAATTGACATGATCCTTAATTTAGGAAACAAACTGAAGTGCAGCAAAGGAAAATTCTTCATTTTACTTTAGGAGCTGTAGTTCCTGTTACCAGATCCCTGAAGAAAGGAGTAGATGGGAAGCCTGAAGAACATGCTGCAGAAGAAAATGGGGATGTTGAAGTCCGTCGTAGTTGCAGAATTAGACGAAGTCGCTATAGTACTATGAACCAGTCGGTACTCTTTGACAAACTAATTACAAAGTAAGGTTTTATCTTTTTATTTCCTCCATAATTGATTCCTTCTATAAAAAATAGGAAGCTCCAGTTGATTAATGGCTCTTCCTTTTTGTATACTGGAAGTGGCAAGCATTTTGGAAGACCATAAATTAAATAGGGTCATATCTCATGTAGGGGCAGAGCTCTGCCCCCAGGGACAGTTCTTTGCTGCTGAAACAGACACTTTTAAGAACTAAATACAGGTAGTCTTTGACTTACAACAGTTCATTTAGTGACTGACAGTTACATTGAAAAAAAGTGACATCATTTTTCATACTGCAGCATATCCCCATGATCATGTGACCAAAATTCAGGTGCTTGGGAATTGCTTCATATTTATGATGGTTACAGAATCTTGGAATCATGTGATCCTTTTTTTTTGCAACCTTCTGACAAGCAAAGGCAATGGTGAAGCCAGATTCACTTAACCAATTGTGTGACTAACTTAACAGCTGCAGTGATTCACTTAATAATTGTGGCACAAAGTGATAAAAATGGGGCAAAATTCACTTAACTCACTTGGAAACAAATTTTGGGCTTAATTACAGTTGTAAGTCTAGGACTACCTGTAGTGTGGTTCCTACTGAAATTGGTTTTTTCACAAGATGTTTGATGTAGTATATCCTTGCACCATCTATCTTAAATAAGATAATAAAATAAAAATCAAGAGGATATTGGAATGCTGCATAACAAACACCAGTAGCTGCTTTACTAATTTGAGCATGGAATATTCTGGATACCTCGGGAATATTCCCCCATTACCCACTGATTATGTTTTTCTGGCAGAAGTTCAGCACTTTTTTAAACTAAGTTCTCTGACTAGGAATTAGTTGGAGATATCTGGAAAGTGGTTTTAGAATGTCCCTGAGTTTTGCAGATCCACATTATTTATTTTCTGGCAAAAGAGTGCTTTATGACTAACCATACCTGCCTGATAATCATTTTCTCAGAGTACCTACCAACATACTCTAAAAATTCAAAATATACCTGTTTTGGAAAATATTACATGCATCTACATTACAATCTTAGTGTTTGTTTTTTTTCACTCCAAAATGGTAGGAAATTTTGTATTTGGTGGTGTGTTGTTGTTTTTATGATAGAAGGAGCTCCAAGAGTAAAGAAAAGGGCAAACTTTCTGGAATGGACAACATACAAATGAAAAAAGAAACAAACAAGTAGGGACATTATTGCTTGTCTGTTGATATACACAGGATTGGACCTGCTTTTATTAATAGTTCTAGCTTTCTATGAACTGAATATTGTGGCATTCTTTGTTTAACTGATTCTTTGTTAACATTTTGTTTAATTATACGTTGCTTACTTTGTCAGTACTGCAGAAGCTGTACTACAAAAAATGGACGATATGAAGAAGATGCGCCGTAGACGAATGATGGAAGACCTTGTGGTGTTCAATGGTAGAAAAGGAGTAAGTGCACATTCATTATTGTGGAGGTACCAATATTGCTTTTGCTTTGATAGTTTGAACATAACCTGAGAAAATTCTATGTAATTCTAAGATGTACTTTATAACTGCAGGAGATATATTTCTTTCCAAATCATTAAATTAGAAGTGCTGTTTGTAAGGCTTTGGAAGTGGCTGTGACCTGTCTCTCTGCATCCTCAAACTAGATCAGGTCAAAGGTCAAACACATCTGCAAGCACCAGTAGCGGCTTCCAAAGCAATTGAGTAAGATAAATACAGCTCAGAAAGGTGTGCATCTGTACTTTATGAAAGATCTTTTTCAACAGATTTGCGCAGTCCAATAATTGTACTGATTCCATTTACTGAATCTACTGAAATTGTCACCGAAGCATCATGTAATGCTGGATTACTTGAATGAGATTTTATGCTATTTCCAGGGAAACCTTGATATGTACTCTGGAGGGAAACCTGCTATCCAAAGGACAGATGAAGAAACCTCTGACAATCAGGATGGAAGTGCAGGTTGTTGTGCTGCTTTTACTTTTTAGAACTGTACTGTTATATATGAAAATTTGAAGTATGGAGTATGAGTGAGGGATATACTTATGGGTAAATTAATGAAAGATGTTTTAATCAAAAACCTCTGAGAAGTGTTTGGTGAATGTTGGTCGTATGACCGACTGGTCTTATGAATTGATTATCCAGAATTTTCAGGTTAATCCCTGGTGGTCCTCTCAGAGAATTCACTAAAACTCTTCTCTTACTATATTGTACTTTTGCATATGTGTACCTATGCCTATTTTCCAGACAGTTTTGACTCCTGGCAACTGCCTGGACCAGGTCTCTGCAGTTGTTGGATGGTATTTTCAGTGGTTGTGGGCAATGTTTTCAGAAGTGATTTGCCCATTACCTTCTACCAAGGGTTGAAATTATCTGTGTTTCCTTCAGATCATGATTAGAATTTCGAGGTAGCTTCAAATTGGATCTGGTTTGATATGGACATTGAAGCTGCATTTTTTCTAGCAAAAAATAAAACTGATAAATGTGTATGTTTCTAGCTGAAATAGAAAATAAAGCTACATGTAGCAATTGTGAAATTTGCTATGGGTTCAGAAACTATTAAAGCTAGAGCAATTTATTTTATTTAATTAGAATCTTCAGAAGAAGTTGAGGACCATGAAGATGAAGATGGAGAAGAAAATCAAAAGCGCTATGATCTCCGACAGCGAAAAACTGTTGTACGTTATCAAGTTTCAGCAGAAAGTAGGTTTCTTTTATACCATTCCTGGAAATCTCGTTTGTTTATTGTAAATTTTCAAATTTCCAATATCAAAATATATACCGAGTATAAGATGCACCGCAGTATGACGCACCAAGATTTTGAAGAGGCAAATAAATAAAGTTTTTTCATTCTGCAGACCTCCCAAAAATGGCTAGTTTTTTGCGAAAACTGGCCCATTTTTTTTAGTCGGCATGAATAGCCTTTAGGAGGCTTGTAGAGTGCTCCTGGGGGCTGAGGGGGGGAAATTGAGCAAAAAACGGCCCGTTTTTCACTCATTCCTGCCATCCCCAGCCCCCAGGAGCCTCATACAGGCTCTGCATGGCCATTTTGGTGAAGGGGATGGAGTTTTGGGAAGCAAAAAATGCTGTATTCAATATATAAGACGCACCCAGATTTATAGCCTCTTTTTTGAGGGAAAAGGGTGCATCTTATACTCTGAAAAATACGGTATTTAATGTGTGTTGATATCCAACCAAACTCCTCATAAACATTGTAAGTTGAAGGCAAAAAGAGGCATTTTATTCCATAAAATAAAGGTCCATGATTAGTTCTTTTTAAATGTTTTTTCTTATTGAAACTTTCAAAAAGTCATTAGTCAATAAATCAGTGACAGATTCTATCCCTTCTCTACTTGGAATTAGAGGATTGGGGAGGCAGTTGGTTAAGCACATACAGTACTTAAGGACTGAACATACTGCTTTGATCATAAGAAAAAAAATTCAATTTCTCTAGTAAATTCTGCAGTTTTCACATTTCTGGAAGTTAGAGATTGTGACTTGTAATGTTTTGTTGTTCCTGTGTGGTATGCTTTTTTCCCATGGAAGATTTCCAAGTGCAAAAGCATAATATACCTGTGGATTTCATAAAGATTTACTGGGCTTTGTCTCTGCAGGCCTGATTAAATGCAGAGCCATATACTGTGCAACCGTGTTAATTAGGAAGATGCTTCAAGCCTTTAACCAGGGAATTTAGGTTTTGCTTTTATAACCTTGATGATGGCTGCTAAAATTAACTCATTTGGCTCTTTCTTTGGTTCTGTTCTATAATTGTACAGATTAGCCGGATTGCTAGAATCCATTTAATTGTTGCTTGGTTGGAATTTAAAAAAAAACATTCTGAGTTAAATTTGATTCATATGTCCTCTATTTGTGGTTGTGAATATATTACTTGGAAAAGTTACTTTTTGCTGCAAATCTGCTTTTGTTTTGCTTTGGGTGAGGGGCTGCCATCTTAACATTTCATGCAGTTGTACATCTTTATTGTGTAACTTTTCAGCCAATGTTGCCTGGATTTGTTTTCTGATTGTCTTTCCAGGAACAAAGTTAACAAATGAACTTTGTACAAGTTAAAATTAGGCTTAGTGTAAACAAATGTTTTGCTACATGTTTTCTCATTCTCTATCATAGAAGCAAGAATATTAGCCTACTTTTTAAAAAAAAAATGTTTGATATTGTTAACAGAGCCCAGGCATCAGAAGAAGCCTAAATTATTTTATGATGACGCAGCCTCTCCAGTAAGAGGGAGTTTCTCTTTTAGCCCTGCAGGACCACGGAGTCCTTTCTGTAAAAAGATAAATAGGTATGTTTTTGTGTGTGCAACAGATACAGTTGTAGCAATGTTTCAGATGCTGCTTGTATCCCCCTAATGATTAATTTAGCAAAAGTTTATTATAATTTATTATAGAATAAACTTTACTGTCTGATCTCCTGACCATGGGACACTGCAGTGGTTGTAATTCACTTTTTCAATGTCATTGTAACTTCAGCTTATTCAGCTTCATTGTAATTGAATGGTTGCTAAGTGAGAACTACATGTACAGTATGTCCTCATAAATGTTGTTTTCAAGAGAGATTTGGTTTACATAGTATGCAGAATCAAGTATCAGCTTCTTAGTATAAATTAAAATTATGCTTTGCTTGTCAGTCTATGTTTGTCAGAGTGACTAACCATAACTATATATCCAGCCAATGAGTGGTTGGTTCCGTATCCCGTTCCAACTAGTACGGTTGGAACGGGCCCGGCATCGTCCACATGGACGCACACAGTGTGCGCATGTATCTTGCCATCCGGTGATGCTCCAGTTGTGCAGGCGCTGTATGCACCATGCACAGAAGCGCTGAAAACTTTAAAGACAGGTAAGGAGGGCGGGTCGGCCCTCCAGAGCACCCTACCGATGTGGTACCCGGTGCTGCGGGCAGGCTCTGGTACGCCCGTACTGGGGTGTACTGCCTGCAACCCACCACTGCAGCCAATGTAGATTCATGGAGGAAATCCAACATGGATTTTAGCTACACCTTCTCCTTATTCTTCAACCCTTTTTCTACTCAACCATTCATATCTACACTCATTCAGCATATATTTACTAATACATTAATATTACCACAACAAGCATTTTCATACTTTTTTTTTTAAATAGGCGAAAACATGCAATTCATAATAGTGATTCCACAACTTCGTCATCATCTGATGATGAAGAACGCTTTGAGAGACGTAGGAAAAGAAGTCGCAACAAAGCATTGAGCAGGTATTTATTCTAAGTGGGTAGTGTATTTTTCCCAGAGATTACATTGGGGGGTTCTGTCTAAAATATTGTCAGTGAAAAAAGGTAAATTCTGACTTTCCATAATTAAATGTTACCAGGATTTAACATTAACTATGAAACTACTGTACATCTATTTTTCTATTCAGGGTTTTAAATTTTGGCTAAATTAAATTCTACTTTTTACTTCAGCACTTTCAACAACTATTAATTCTCACTTTAGGTGCCTTCCGCTGAATTTTCAAAAAGATGAGTTGAAGGGAATCCACAGAGATCGAATGAAAATTGGAGCAAGCCTGGCTGACGTTGATCCAATGCAAATAGACACTTCAGTAAGGATTTGATGTCTTGCATTCTGACATAAAACTTGAATGTAGATAACCTTATCTTTAAAATTAATGTAACTATTCTTTGGTTATTCATTATGTGACATTGAGTTATTGTTGCTTCCTGGATACCATGTAGATTGAACTGTTCTTTAATATACTGATAATAAACTTAAAAGATACTTTTGAGGACAGTAATAGATAATATTTACTTTGCATTTACTTTGGCTATGATTTTTATTATTTCCATTTGTCAACTGTCTCCCTTTTTAGGTGCGATTTACTAGTGTGGGTGGACTTTCTGATCATATTTCAGCTTTAAAGGAGATGGTAGTTTTCCCACTACTTTATCCAGAAGTGTTTGAGAGATTCAAGATTCAACCTCCAAGGTAGTACTTAAAATTATTTCCTTTTACTGGATGTTAAAGTCGTTTTAAAATTTGGACTTTCTTGGGATAGTTTCTTAAGACCTCTAGACAACAAGATCATTTCTTAATAAACACTTTGATGCACTATTTAGATCAATTTGAGTAGCAAGTTAAAATTGACAAGGTCATAGTCATAGTAGTTTACAAAAAAAATATACATGTGTTCTAACTTTATATTATATTAATTTATACTATATTATATTAAGAAGTACTCAAACCTTAAAGGAACCTGAAGGTGTCTTTGAATTATTTTTGTGTACATTTTTGTAATTTCAAATTAATATATTATTATAGCTAGACTTCCACAAGAGATAATGCAAAATATAAACAAGTCCGAATTAAGAAAGAACAAATTAAGAATTGGGAAATAAGAAATTACATTATTTACAGAGGTTAAAAATTGAAATAATTATTAGAGCCAAGAGAATGTAAATATAGCAGCCAATACAAAAGCACCAAATATAGAAGAAAATAACCATTAAAAAAATTGGACGAAGGAACAATCCTAAATGCTATCAGTTTTGTCAGAAAATGGTTTAGAATAATTTTAGCTGGAAGGATGGGCCAGTCCTTTGCTATTTCTGGGCTGGATCTAAGCACCCCGAGTGCCACATCCGTCCTGCGGTTCTTGAGTTTGACACCCCTGCCCTAGAGGGAAATCCATTCATGTTGCCTCCTTCTGAAGAGCCACAGAGATTCATTAAATGCTGCTGCCAATTGATACTTTTGGTTTCAATTCATTCTATCTCATGTCTGCATCTTCTCCTAGAACTCCTGAAATCAGATAATTGATGCATATCAAAAACCTGTGGGTTATTTCAACAACAACTTTAATATTTTGAATAATTATCTATTAATGCAGAAGGCTTGTTAAGAAAGGATAACACATACAAACATTTCAGAAAATTGAAATGATGATATGTAAAATAAAGATCATTAAAATTGCTACCACCTTTGTTCTTGGTATCATGTACAGTCATATTGTTCTCCATTATCTTTCATGATCATTTCTGTAATTTTAGAAAAGGGTTTATGCCCAAAAGCACCATTGCCACCTCTGAATTTTGACCTCATATGAGAAGAAGTTCACAGAAAGTTCTGCATCAGCATTTGAGTCCATAATCATGGACAAAAACCTGCCTGTGGTGCCTGGCTTGGGCAATCTATAATCTAGAAATTTGGGGATCTTTTACAGGAAATTTATAGGTCCTTAACTACAATTTTCAGATTCCTTATGGAATTTCAAGTAGAAAAATTCTGAAATCTCTTGGTTATGTATATATAAAATTAGCATTCTGGGAAATTTTTGAATGGAGACATACTCAGATAGCTTCACTGCTGAACTGGTTACTTTCATTCTCTCAATACCAAGATTTCTACACAATCTAATCTCGATTTGTTCTTCAGTCGTTTGTATATCTTGCCTATATTGTTGTTTGTTTATATGTGGTTTTAACTGCTCGTTATGCACTGCCCAGAGTTGCCTTTGTGAGATGGGTGGCTGTATAAATATGATAAATAAATGTGACTGACTGCTCCACAGTTGGTTTGTGGTATTCCAGAAGTTAAACTTCAAAACAAGAAGTGAGATTTCTTTGTTAAGATGAGTAACTTCTGGAAAATAGCTGGAACAATAGTGAGGACATTCTTGTGTCTGTGAGAAAATATGCCCTGAGCCTCTACGTTTTGTGACCATTGAGGATGATTATTAATTAGCATGCTCATACCTCCAAATTCATAGGCACCGATATTGATAACTAAGAACATCAGTGTAATAAGCTCTGTGCCTTTTGTGTGCTGTTTGTAGGAGGTTTTTCTTAAAAACCTGGTTGCCAATGTCTTAAAGTGATTGGGTAGAGTATGCTGAAATGATTACTTTTAACTGCAAATTTGAATTCTTCCAGGGGCTGCCTTTTCTATGGTCCACCGGGGACTGGAAAAACTCTTGTTGCCAGGGCACTTGCTAATGAGTGCAGTCATGGAGACAAAAGAATAGCATTTTTCATGAGAAAAGGTGCTGATTGTCTCAGTAAATGGGTGGGCGAATCTGAGCGACAGCTTCGTCTGCTGTTTGATCAGGTAAATTTGCTTTCTTTGTGTCTTGAATTCTGCACAACTACTTTGAACCATAATTAATTTGAACTTCTCTTTTTAGGCCTTTCAGATGCGTCCTTCAATTATATTCTTTGATGAGATAGATGGCCTTGCTCCTGTAAGGTCCAGTAGGCAAGATCAGATTCACAGGTATGTGCTTTGTAATTAAAAACTATAACTCTTCAAAAATTTCTTTGCACTTCAATATGACAGATTAAATTCAAAAGATTGTAAAAAGTAATTTGACCTTGAATCCATTCTATTTTGAGAAAATTTGTACAGAGATGGTTAAATAAGCAAGGAAACATAGTATTTAGTTATTTGCCTACATAAATAACAGTACTTTTGATCAAGTAATATGCATATTTAAAAATCTGTAGGTTTTCTTTGATTCATTAAAAATAGTAATAAAATAATGTTGCAAAAATACATTGTCATCACCTTTATAGTCTAATATTTAATAACAATTATATAAAGTATTTTTCCATTGTAACTAGCCCTAAGAAATATGTAGTTTAATAAGGTTAGAGTCGCCTCCTTCCACTTAATTATATTTAGACTTTGTTATTATATCAACTCAAAACCTTTATTTGAATTTTAATCATACTACTACTTTGTATACTTGAAGTAACTTCCTACAATCTTTTGCTTATGGATATATTTAATCTTCCATGAACATATTTCAACTGAAATGTTCCCTAACTTTTCTCTTACACTTCACTATTTCCATTCTATTGAACAATGTTTAATAAACTCTTTAGGTCAAGCATGAAAGTATAAAATATCTGAAAACTGCAGATTTTAACTGAGGTGCCTTTTATCTGCAGATTATTATATATTTTCTAGCTTTCTCTGTTATGGTGTTATTAAAAAATCTGATCTCAGCTGTCCTTTTTATTTCTTTTCAATGAAATCCAGC